TGATAATTAGAAATATTTCTGGGAGAAACAATTGAAAAAGCCTGTCAATTAGCAGGGACTTTAGCCGGAGAGAAGTAATCCAAGTGGAAAAATTGTGCCTGCCTTTACTTCAGATAGTGATGGCCTCAGAAACAAGATAGATATAAGATAGACAAGAGAAAATGTTTCTTGGAAAAAGGTTTATTGAACCTCACAATGGTGAGGCTGTGAAAAGTGTACCTCTGAGATTATCTTAGTTTGCCAAAGATCTGACAAGCACAGTTTAGTACTCGTTCCCCTCTAGGGGCAAAGTTTCAGAGCTTCCTAACTTGGGTGCCTTGGCAAGCTGCAATCCCTCAGATGGTTACTGATGTACCAAGATACTAATTCCTTCAGTCTAGGAGGGCCTGGATAGGCCTGGAATATGTAGACTAAGAAGTCATCTCCTACATTCTTGAGCAGACGCTGCCATTTATCTCAAGGTACCTAGAATATTACCAGTTTCTGTCTGAGCTGAAAAAAGGTGGACAAGACAACTCCTTTGCGTCCCTTTTCTTGCAGTCAAGCCAGTCTATTTATTGTCTTCTACCATGCCAATTTCCGCTTGTCTGGATTCTATGTCTAGAATGTCCTCTTCTTTTCCAGCTTCTATGCAGAGTGTTTCTTAAATAAGAAACAAGACGAATGATCCATAATGGAAAAAAACTGTTATAACAATTATCATAGCTTATAACTTCTGTTTGATGAAAGACAGTATAAAAAGAGTGAAAAGACATATCTTAGGCTGAGAAAAATGTATGAGACTTTTAAAGAAAACTAACTGTTCTTTAAGCATAAAAATAGATTAACAAAAGCTCTGTAACCTTTAACATGAATAAAGTATATCAAGTGTGTCATGTAAATAACTAAACAATAAACTTTTTTTAAAAAGCAACAGAAAATTCTATATTGTGCTATTGATGCAAATATTTGAAATTTCCAAAGTGTAATCTTCAGGAATGTACAACATACATGGAAAAACCGCACAGCCATACATAGGAATACCCATCAGTTTTGTGATTGTGTTCCCTCTGGGAAGGGAAAGAGTGGAAGGAATGGGTATTAACTGGAACATTTCACTTCATTTGGTTTTTAAATCTAAAGAAAAAAAGGTCAAAATGTAAATATACATTTAATCTTCATGATGGGGGTCTCACTGGTACATTATATTCTACAATAGTTGATGTGTTTAAAATGTGTCATAATTCAAATGAAACATTTTAAATGGATGAGAGAGGTCTAAACTCAATCTTAGTAAATATAATCTTAGTTGATTTTATGTATGTATACCACTTAATAATGTCCTCTTTTTGATTAGTATTTGTTAGCTTAATTTCTGCTTCAAATTATACATGTTTTAAGGGGTGAGAGTGTGATTTTTATTTCCCTTCTGTCCTCTTCAATGACTATAATTGCAATAAGCATCTAGTATATAGGTAATAATAATTGTTAATTGATTATACAAAACATGTTCACTAAACTGGAAATCCTCATATGTTAAACAGATTAGTGACAGCATTTGCAAACTACCAGTTCCCAAAGAAACAAATGTGTTTCTATATGGCAAAGTTTCTTTTGAGTCGTCCCACTTTATCCTCTTTCTCTCCATCCCTCAACTACCTTCTCCTTTTGTTCCCAATAACATTCTTCCAAATCCACAAAAATCAAGCAAAGCAGATTTTCCTTACAAATAAAGATGAGCTCTAAAATCCTCTCTGTTCCACCCTCCAACCTGATCAGCCAAAATCCTTGGGATGAGAATAGAAAAAAAAACAGAAATGTTGCTGTGAGTCCAGGGGTATGTCAGAACCCAGACCAGAGTTCTTTCACAGAGGAAGTAAGTTGTTAGAAAACACCCCATCTTATTATCTGAGTATAGAAATTAAATAAATCTGGGGACTATCTAGCATAAATAATTTTTGAGAAAAATAATTACAGAGGATCACAGACGTCTGGACAGAAGTAGTATCTTGCTGATAGATTTTCAAATCTTCCCATTTATAATCCATCAATGTTCTGGTGGATTTTGTTTTAAATAGTTTTATTTATTTTTATTTTATGTTATTTTTATTTTAAATAGTTGATACATTGTTTTGGGAGGGATAGCATTAGGAGAAATACCTAATGTAAATGACGAGTTAATGGGTGCAGCACACCAACATGGCACATGTATACCTATGTAACAAACCTGCACATTGTACACATGTACCCTAGAACTTAAAGTATAATAAAAAGAAAAAATCAGGCTAAAACTTTTGGGAGATTAGGAATCAGTTAAGAATCTTTCAGTGTCTCTAGATGCTAGAAACTTACAAGGACACGAATATACAAATATTCATATAATTTCAGGGAGGCTGTAAGCCTAGGGAAGCTCATCTATGGATCCTTTATGATTCCATAGTCTCCAGGTTAACATACTTGCCTTAAACAGTTCCAGTGCATGGGTATCTGTGTAGAAACAATCTAGAATTATGATTTGTTACTAGATCAGAACTAATTTTATAAGATTTAAATAAATTGTTGATGATTAACTGAAAATGATGAAATTGCACTCGTTCTTTTCAAATTGGCCTGCAGTTTTAAACACACATATATAAACATATGTGTGTATATCCATATATATTAATATATTCATGTATATATTCATATATATGTGAACGTGTATACATATATATGTTCCTAGACACAAAATTCTACAAAATTTAAATGGAGAAAAAGAAAAATAGATCCTTTTGACTATTTTTCTAATCTTTAAAACTTTATTTCTGTTTGCTATTAAGGCAATTTTACCAAAATAGAAACACAGGGCATTGAATTCTTCTAGGCTTATTGCCTGATTTTACTAAGACTTTGAATGTATGATAATTAACAATATTGAATTTCAATGAATCCAGCATACAGGAAAATAACTGGTTTTTAATCATAATGCCATTGTTTCCTTTGTTGACCTCCCAAATTGATGTAACTACTTTACTTATTCCTATTCTAGAAACAAACAGCTCTTCCTGGGTAGGACTTCAACATCATCAGTACTGTCTTCTTGCTCGTCATCTTCACTTACCCTCTGGCTCCTTTCAGCCCCCCTGTCTAGGAAGGAATCCACCTGAGCTCTTCTGTTTTCTCCATGTCATTCTGGTTTCTCATTCACTTGAATGCACACCTTTGGCTCCCTGGTATCTTATTCAGCTTAATCTAAAGATACATTCTCATGATTTACTTCTTTTAATTAGTTCACAGGTCCTTTATTATTGAGTGGCTAGGGCATATGTGTGACTTCGGAACTATACATGTAGCACAAACTGCTTAAAATCCTAGATCTTTTTATGATATTACATTAAACCAGCAACTTTAAAGTAAAAGAGATGTCAAGAATTTAACATAGGGAGAAATGCAAACCATGTGGCTGGTATTTGTGAGTAACTGAGGTCTATATAAAAGAAAACATTAAGAGACAGAAGGAAACCTGCTACTGTGGTGATGGGTATAAAAACTTGAACTACTGTCTAACACTTTCTTTTATCAGCTCTGAAGATCATTAGTATGAGTATGACCATCTTTCTTTAGAAATTGTTACTCATTAATGATGAAAGTGATGATGCTGATAACGGTGACTAATATGTACTGAGTACTTATATGCCAAGTACTTTGTGAGCAGGTTCTCTTTTAATCTTTACAATAATTCTACGTGAAACTATAAAACTTCCATTTTTATCTATGCTCTGAGGTCAGATAATCCTTGCTGAAACCGGAGTTTGAACTCGGACATTCTGACCACAGAGTTCATATTGTAAATCACCAGGTCCTATTATATCCCTCATGGAAAATTGAATCCAATAGTTCTGCTCTCACTGTTTCCCTGTCTATTCTCCATGAACGATGGCTTCTTAGCCATAATCATTCATAGTCATCCAGTCTTATGGATGGGAATTCCATCTATTCTTTGACAATCCTAAGATTTTTTTTTTTTTTTCAGGCTGGATCCCGCCCCTTGAGCTCCAGACTTCTGTATTGACAATTCCAGTTGGATTTCTAATACATATCTCAACTTGATCATATATAAAACCAAATTCCTGGTTTCTTCTTTTAAACTCTTCATCAGTATCTGATAAAATGACAACTCCACTCATCTAGTTGTTTAAGCTAAAAATGTTAGAATCTTCCTTCGCCAAGCCTTTCTTTTACATGCCAAAATTATACTTCTGAATGCATCTAGGTATTTGACCACTTCCTCACCTCCATTGCTACTAGTGGGGACTAGTCCCACCCACCACTGTCTCTTGCCTGATGAACTGTAATGGCTTCCTAGTACATCTCTCTTCTATCACTTTTGCCCCAAAATAGCATAGAGAAGTCAGGAGTCTTTTAAAACAAGTTATATCATTCTTACTTAAAAACCCCTTTAAAACAGAAAGCATGGAGTTCTCATCTCACTCAGACCTAGACCCTGGCATCAACTCTGATCTCTTTCTCTCCTTCACTCCCTCTACTTAGCGATAGCATCCTCTGTGTACTGCAGGCCTACTCCTTCTATCTTGAGTGATCCTTCTACAGATATCTGCATGGTTAGTTCCTCTGATTTCTTCACACCTCTGCTCAAATGCCAAGTTTTCCCTAGCACACTAAAATAAGAAAACTTGCTCCCCAAACTCTCCTTCTCCCTTTACCTGCCTCATTTCTCTCCATAGCATAAAATACCATCTGACTTCCTGAGTATTCACTTGCATCTCCCCAGTTAAAGTGTAGGCTCCATGACTGCAGAGATTTTGTTTGGCTTACCTCCATATCCCCAACGCCCAGAACTATGCCTAGCACATCATGTTTGTTGAATAAATTAATAAATTTACACTTCCACTAGTGATGAATGCGAGGGCCTATGTCATCAACTCATCCCCAAGAACATGAATTTTTGTTACTTTTTCTTAGCATGGAAAGAAATTCACTGTAGAAAGCAATTCTCTATCAGAAAGCAGTAAAGTCAGATATATATTTGAAATGACTTTTGTTCTTATTTGTGACCAAACAACTAATAGGGTTTACACACAGCACTCTCATAATTAGTATAATTACTTAAAATGTGGAGAAATTAAAGCATGCAAAAGTGTTTCAAAATTCAACGGTGTTCTTATTAGTAACTGCTGTTATTTACACTTCTCTCTGGGTTGCCCAGGAGTCTCATTATGTTATTCCAATGGCAGGGCAGACGTTACAAGTGACTGGGATCTGTTTGATACTGGTTTGCAAAGGACCCTCTCTCTATTTCAGTTCCTCCTTGAATCTTCTCTCCTGTTTAATCAAAGAGGGACTTTCAATAGAATATTAAAGGGAGCAGAGAAAGCCAAGCACAGATTATGCATACTCCTTAATCCTCAGAAATAGCTTTTCTTCATCACCAACTCTTTGGCATGGGAAAGATCAGAGGAATTTTTCTTGTTGCTGATTTTTTTCCCTAACGTTCCCAGCCTTCACATTTATAAAGAGGGAGTTAAGACTGTAAGTCAAGAGTAGAAAGAATTTAACATCTGCAAAGCCAGGCCCTATTTGGAAAAAAAAAAGAATAAGTGTGATTAGATCATTCTGTTAATATTCATCACAGAAATTTCTTTTAGGCAATTCTTTCAAAAAATATTTAACTCCTTTTTATGTATAAACCCCTATTCTGGACACTGGAGCTAGATCTGTTTCCTGCCTCACAGAGCCAACAATCTAGCAGGGGAAACAAAGAAAATCACAAATTTATGCCAATAATTGATACAAATTAAAAGTAATCACATTAAGACATACAGAGTAAATATTGGCTTCACCAATAAATTAAGTTGTAAAAGTTCTATAATATGAAAGTCTGAACTAAAAGGGCTTGGATTATGAAATACATTTGTGACTTAAAGTTAACAAATTGAGAAACATATATTGAAATAGAATCCATATGAAAAGAATTATTAGATCATTCTCTAAACCATCTGTAACCCAAACCTTAGCATCACACAGTATACCCATATAAGAACCCTGCATCTGTCCCCCTGAATCCAAACAAAAAGTCCTTGGAATATTAAAATAAATCATTCTCCAGATCAGTAATATCAATGGGAGGAAAAAGATGAAAACTATAGACATTGTGCTATTAGGAAAGATCATCATGATTATAAACATTGCTTCCTCAGATAGGCCCTTTCTAGTCATGTTTCTTCTATTATGCTCTATCACAGCAGCACTCTACTTGTTTCATTGTGGACACTAATCATAATCATTATATACATATACATAAAATGATTATTTTATATATTTATATTATTTATATAATATACTAATTTGTTTGCATTGTTTATTTGTTGATTATCTATCCCTGTAGTAGAATACCCCCTTCTTGAAGGCAGGAACATTGTCTGTGTTGTTCTTTTTTATAAAGAACAGAGCTGGCATGTAGTTGATGTTTAATAAATATTTATTCAATAAATAAATTCCGATAAAAATATAAAGTGAACCCATTATATCAGATTCTTACTCTGCATATTTTTATTGAATGTGTATCAAATATGACATCCTCAGTACCTTCGAGATACTTTTTCTTATAAAACATGTTATACAAAAAGAATTCATAAGCATCTACCCAAGAAAGTGCCTCTCTCCTGCACTTAACCAGTCCTACAAATCAATTAATACCTTTATAGGCTCTGTTGGTGAAATTAATTCCTTGCATTTTAAGAAGTACATAAGAAAAATGAAATCTGCCTTTTTTAAATGATCATTCACAATTTTTAAAAACAGATTGTATGTTTATCAAATTGTTGTGTTTTCACTGTAAATAAACTTGAAGCAGTAGTTTTGATCAGCATACCACATATAAATGAGAACACAAAAATAAGGGAGGGGAAATGAATTATAATTCTGTTTTGCTGCTTATAGAAAATGTACATATTAGATATTAAATATATAGATATAGATCACACATATATCTTTATTTTATACATGTAAAAATACTTATTATAAGAAATTGGCAGCTGGGTGCAATGGTTCATGTCTGTAATCTCAGCACTTTGGGAGGCCAAAGGGAGTGGATCATCTGAGGTCAGGAGTTCCAGACCAGCCTGGCCAACGTGGTGAAACCCCATCTCTACTAAATATACAAAATTTAGCCAGGGCATGGTGGTGGGTGCCTGTAGTCCCAGCTACTCGGGATACTGAGGCAGGAGAATTGCTTGAACCCAGGAGATGGAGTTGCAGTGAGCCGAGATCACGCCACTACACTCCAGCCTAGGCAACAGAGCGAGACGCCATCTTAAAGAAAAAGAAAAAAAAAATGCTCATGTGATTTAGGAAGGTAGAAAGTTAGAAGATCTGCAGCAGGCAAACTGGAGGCCAAGGAGAGCCAACTGGTCTAGGTTCTAGGTTGAGTCCAAAGGTATGAAAACTAGGAGAGCCAACAGTACTAGTTCCAATCTGAGAAGTGGTAGGCTTGAGACCCAAGAGGAGGCAGTTAGTTATTCAGTCTGAGTTTAAAGAGAGAAGACTGATGTTTCGGCTCACCCAGTCAGGCAAGAGGAGTCCCTCATACTTAGCCTTTTTGTTCTATTCACTTCTTCACTTGATTGGATGAGGCACGTTCACATTAGGGAGGGCAATCTTCTATACTCAGTCTACCAATTCTAATGTTAATCTCATCCAGGATAACCTTGACTGACTCTCCAAGAATAATGTTTGATCAAATGTTTGGGCATCCCATGGCCCAGTCAAGTTGACAGAAAATTGACCATCATAGCTTCTCAGTTCAGGTACCCCCTTAGTGCAACTTCCCTGCCCCTATAGTCTGATTTAGTACATTATCCTCCCTTGAATTGCTTGGGAGCACAATATCCTTTTTTGTATTCTTCAGAATTCTTCTCACTTTCCAAAAGTATTACATTTTAAAATAGATGTTATTGACAGAGGAAAATGTTAATGACAAAACATTAAGTATGAGAAGCAATTATGTTTCATTTGTGTGTCAAAAAAGACCTTCTTTTTCTTTTCTTTTTTTTAATTATACTTTAAGTTCTAGGGTACATGTACACAACATGCAGGTTTGTTACATGTGTATACGTGTGCCATGTTGGTGTGCTGCACCCGTTAACTCGTCATTTACATTGGGTATATCTCGTAATGCTATCCCTCCCCACTCCCCCCACCCCACAACAGGCCCCAGTGTGTGATGTTCCCCACCCGGTGTCCAAGTGTTCTCATTGTTCAATTCCCACTATAAGTGAGAACATGCAGTGTTTAGATTTCTGTCTTTGCGATAGTTTGCTCAAAGTGATGGTTTCCAGCTTCATCCATGTCCCTACAAAGGACATGAACTCATCCTTTTTTATGGCTGCATAGTATTCCATGGTGTGTATGTGCCACATTTTCTTAATCCAGTCTATCATTGATGGACATTTGGGTTGGTTCCAAGTCTTTGCTATTGTGAATAGTGCCGCAGTAAACATACGTGTGCATGTGTCTTTATAGCAGCATGATTTATAATCCTTTGGGTATATACCCAGTAATGGAATGGCTAGGTCAAATGGTATTTCTAGTTCTAGATCCTTGAGGAATCGCCACACTGTTTTCCACAATGGTTGAACTAGTTTACAGTCCTACCAATAGTGTAAAAGCATTCCTATTTCTCCACATTCTCTCCAGCACCTGTTGCTTCCTGACTTTTTAATGATCGCCATTCTAACTGGTGTGAGATGGCATCTCGTTGTGGTTTTGATTTGCATTTCTCTGATGGCCAGTGATGATAAGCATAAAAAAGGCCTTCTTATATATTTAAGGTGAATTGAAGTGCTGCTCTGGGTGTCTTTGATTTCTTTTCTCTGTGCACCCACCACCCACTCAGTACAGCAGAGGCCAGTCCAGCAGCCACTGTAGCAGCAAGGCCACCTTAGCCTCAAAAATCAGGGAATAAGGGGCAGACTTGGAGACTAATACAGGCTTGAAACCTGTTGCCTCTCCTGCATTTATTATCCAAGAGCCAGAAACTGCATGTCTAGTTTAAATACATATTTATATATGTATTCATAAAGGACAGTATTTAGCAAGCTCATAAGAAGTTATGTGGTTGAAAAAAATGAAAATAGAGGGAAAAAAAGACCTTGTTAAGATAACTTTTCTTTTTCAAAATAAAAAGTTTTAAAGTCACTATCAGGCCAGGTGCAGTAGCTCACACCTGTAATCCCAGCGTTTTGGGAGGCCGAGGTGGGAAGATCACTTGAGGTCAGGAGTTCAAGACCAGCCTGACCAACATGGTAGAACCCTGTCTCTACTAAAAATACAAAAATTATCCAGGGGTGATGGCGTTCGCCTGTATTCCCAGCTACTCTGGAGGCTGAGACATGAGAATCACATGAACCTGAAAGGCGGAGGTTGCAGTGATCTGAGATTGCAACATTGCACTGCAGCCTGAGTGACAGAGCAAGGCCCGGTCTCCAAAAAAAAAAAGTCACAATCATAGTACCGTACTTAATGTACCGTACTTAACTATAAGCAATTTTGAGTGTATTATAGGGAATAGAAATTGTTACTATATAACTCATTAAAACATTCACAAAGATATATCTTATTTAGTAGTTCTTTTGCTCTATTTGGTATTAAACATGTGTCTCACCAAAGCATAGCTGTTCAAAATTTTATAAGCAAAGAATTACAGTTGTATTTGCAAATACTAATCAACGAGTGTT